AATTTAAGAAAGGATTCATAGAATTAGTTTAAAGAAATAAATAACGTTGATAGTTGACAACATAGAACAAAATATATAATGTGAAATATCAACCGATCTACAAAAGTCTTCTTTTCAACAATGATCAAGTACAAATGCAAATAAGATTGAATCAAATGTCATTCATTATAGTTCTATTTCTATTTAAACAGATGACATTGATTCTTGCTCAAGTATGTCTTATACTAACTTGCCAATATTTTTCACACTTGATAATGACTGGTTCAAGAAAAAATCAATATCTTCTAGAAAAATACAATGAGTTTAGTAGAAAGACTTAATCATATACCAAATATTCATTTAAAGAAAACAGACTATATTAAATAATATTTTTCAAAGGTTTTTCGCTTCTCAACAACTTTTTTTCACTCCTTACTTAAGAATATCATTAATATGAAAACTGCTCATTGATGTGAGACTTATATGATGATTATCTTTTAGAACATTTCTGTATATGAGTTTGATTAAAATGATTTTCTTCATGAGATATTTCCCACGAGAAATAAAACAATATATACAATAAAGATCTTTTTTCGATAAGTCATTTGATTTATAATTGAGATATTATTAATAAAATTTCCGAAAACTCAACTGTCAAATTTAATGGTTTAAAAAGTTGTTCGTTTCATTGTGTAAAGGAAACTTGTTAATTTCGTTTTATTGGTTTCGCGCTAGTTAACCTTGCTTCAATTTTTTGTACCATATGGCAGCAGCGTTGGAACCGGCCGGACCGGATCGGATAAGACCGAATTTTTGCCAGTGTATCATTACTAAATTGTTGTTTGCACCCGAGAATGTTCCCTACTGAAAACGGTGTTTTTATGATATTTTCAAGTCAGAGGAATGTGTTTACGAAAGACTCAATAGATATCTTGTCTTCCACTTGACCATAAACGATTGATTTCTCTGTTTATATCTCTATCGATTTCTCTCATGTATATCGCTCAGTTTAACCTCGATCAAATAATTTTTTTTCTTGTTCTTCTAAGGCAGCTGCCTGAATCAAGAAAAATAAATATTTACATTTTTTGTGTTAGATTTGTTATAAACTTGTTTTCTTTTAAATTAAATTGAAAAAACAAACTTCATCTGAATCGCTAATTTATATCGATATGGTGCTCGAAAAGTCGGTGCGCCATGCTTGCCATATGATGGTGAGAGTTTCATTCTCAAGTTTTAGCTTTCAGTTCGAATTAGGGGTGGCCATTTACTGTTAATTTATTTTAAATATAAATTTTTTGAGAATTGAAATTTAAAATAAATCTAACTTTTAAAATTAACATTTAAAATAAAATAAAATATTCATATCTGAAAAATTTAAATTTCTTAAAATTTCTTTTTGGATTTATTCAATTTCCATAAAAGTAAATTGATTACCTTTAGTTTGGAATTCTACACGTGAATATTCAATTCCCCTTCGTCCTATTTTATGTGAACAGATACCTTTATTGTTGGATATTTTCGCGGGATTTTTGCCAGTTTGGCTGTAAAATTTATCCGGTCGGTTGCTGGCCGGATGGAGTCGGACAGAAAAACCTGTCTGATTCCAACTCTGTATGGCAGTAGTCTTTTATTTTTTCTTTTGCGTAGATTTATGAAATTTAATTTCTTATCTTTCGTAAATATTTGGCCACTTTGCTGATAACATGACTATCGAAAGTTTCCTCGAGGACAAAGAGAAAATTTCCAAGTAAGAGAAAGAAAATTGTGTTCTTTTTCTTCCTTTCGAATAGTAAAGAATGAAATTAACCACGATTATGAATGAGAACAAAATACAATATTTATTTGTTATTTTTTTTTGATAAATGACTCAAGCTTATTCAACAACCGTCGAAAATAATCTATTCAATAATGATCAATCTGTTTTCAATCATTTATCAACGGATATACATAATGAGGGGGTGAGTGAGGGGGTATTGGCCTCACACCCCATCCACATCTTTTGGCAAGTTGAGGGTGTGGGCGTGTCTATTAGGAGAACACGAGTTGCCCACATCCACACCCTCACACCTTCGCTTATACCCTTTGATTTTCGTAATCATACAGTTCTACACAGTGATTAAAGCCAACTGATGATTCCTTTAGCAGGGATTAAACCTAAATCTTGGCAGCACTATTACACTCATGCCCTATCTTCTTGATCCATATTTCTCATGTTATTTGGATCATCAAGACTTAGTTTGCACGTGAACATCGTACGTGAGCTTCTGAATGGTTTCGCAATCAGCTCGTTCATTTTCATGTAGATAAACTTGTGGCCAACCGCGTAGCCATCATTATTAAAAAATAGCCAAAATATGACTTTATTCTTACAGTTTTGAGCTGGAAAAACATTTCAAGTCGTCTGTATCTTCTCCAGCTTGTTATTGTCATTGAGAAATCTGGTTAGATATTAGGATAAAGCATACTTGAAAACATGTACTCGGATAGATGAGCCAATTACAAAAGTGAAAAGAAAGATGAAAGTGAAATTAGAACATTTAAAAGACATGTGCTCTTTGAATTTTGAGCTTGTTAGCGTTCTCGCTCACGAAGAGCGGCGAACACAGTTAACGTGTGTGTGTTTAGTTTATTCTCTCTGTTTATTCTTTTACAAAACAAGAGTTTATATACGCACATGAAAAACATGGACAAAATAGAAAAGAAGACAAAGGTTAATCAAGGACAAAGAAAAGAAGTTAAAGAAACGAAAAGACAGAAACGAAAATATCAAAGAGAAGAGAATAGAGAGGATCGAGGTATATGTTATGAGAATACACTGTAACAGAGCTGTTCATCATGGCAAAATTCTGGGGATTTCGATGCTAAACTAATAGGACCGAAACCTGCACAAGATCAAAATATCGTGGTCGCGCAGGATTCAATTATTCACAAAAGAAAGTCTAATATTGAAAAAAGATTTACTCGAGTAAACTGAAGATGAGATTTCGATATTCTCTGCTTTCCGCTGTAGGACTGTGCACCTTCTTCACTTGATCAGCTGCTTGCTGAATCAGTGTCTCCCGTAATGCAGTATCCTTAGCAAGTTGCGACAAACATTGAGCAGCTTGTTCAGGTGTTTCGAATAATAATCCAGTTTTACCATGNAACTACACATCAATCGATAGAACTAATGAAGACCCATCGAATATTATGTGTTCTATGATTGGCACACATTACGCAATCAATATGTTATCGAATTGGTGTATTCGTACACTAACCAAATGTGTTTTAAGAATCCCAGGAACCGTAAAGTGTTAATATTTCCGCAAATTATACATCAACCAATGACGCGAAACGAGGTGCATCGAATGGCATATGTTTCATGAATGGCACATGCTGTAGAATGAATCTATTATTGAAATAGTTTGTAAGTAACACTAGCTGAAAGGATTTTTGGGGACCTCACCGTATGTGAAATATAAATATTTATACAAATTATATATCAATCGATAGAACTAATCAAGACGCACCAAATTCCATTTTGTTCTATGATTGGCACATATTGTAGAATAAACATATTATTGAAATAGTGTGTAGATGAGAGTAGTGGAAGGAGGTTTCAGAGATCCCAGGATCTCTGAAGTGTTAATAGTTACACTCAATTTCACATCAATCGAGAGAAACAATTCAGATTCAGTGAAAAATTGTTGACTTTGTTAATGTGATACAATATTTTTTGTGCTAAGTGATGCACATATTCGGTTGTCTCATATATCTATGATTTTGGAGAACTTTGAGTGCGAAGTTTTTACTCACTTGGGATGAAATACATATCATTCGATAGAGCTCTTAGACATGAATGGAATAAAATCAGTTTCACATGTGGCACAGGTTATTGAACAAATAATTACGAAAATTACATCATAAAATGATGCTTTTTTTACGTTTCTGGAGCTTGAGAGTCTTACGAGTTGCTTTCATTAGGGTTTTATTGATACCATCAGATACAGGATGTCGAGATGCATCGAATGATGTAAATTTGAAAAGTGGCACGAGTCCTAGTTTGAATTGTTTCAGGAAATTTTAGATTTTATTATTTTTTCCCGTGGTATAAAATCATGGTTTCATGCGTCTTTCGTTGTTTTTTATGTTGAGTAAAATTTCAAATGCACTATATGATAGAATTTGTGTTGCTCTATCTGACACACGACAAGTCATACTTGGCACAGTTGAGTAGGCGAATTGATCTGAAAAAAACTCGAATCAGGTGCTAACTTCCCTTACATATTCCATTGGGTTTTTCTATCAAAAGAGTAATCGAACTTAAGAGATTCAGTTTTTTTTAACACCAATCCATTGAATCATGTTTTCCTTCAGTAAGCTAAATAGTAATCTATAACTGCATGGCAGAACAAGACACAATCAAAAGAATTATTATGGACAAAAAATCTATTCTCTTATAAATAGTGACCACGATATGCGAGAGTATATTTGATCTATTCTTGATGTCATACTTTGAAGAAAAAATCAATCTGCAGATGAACACTTGCAACTGCAAATATTGATTTGTTTAGAAAAATGAAATTGTAGAAATTTTTATGACGAGCACGTGTAAGAAAATTAATTTTTCAAATTATTTTGGCTCTAGTTATAATATGTCCTATATTATCAACACAAAATGGGTTCGATCATGATAATTTCAAGGTATGACACATTTCTTCCTTCAACTTTGATTGGCTTCGGTTATTCCTGTTTCAACAGTCGAAAAACATTTTCGCAATACAAGTTCTTTTAGTTACTCACTTTATCTTTCTTATACAATCCTTCAATATTACTCTCATTTAATATGTGTAATAAAGACAAATCGACACTATTTTATTTCTCTCATAATAATTAACAATTATTTATCACTATTATCTTTTCGATTGATTTCTTCAAGAGCGTTTTCAAAACTTGTACTTGATTATACATTCATTGTTGTTGTTTTATCGTTACTCTGTGTTTCAGTAGACATAGTAGTGGGTTTGCACCGTTGATTGTTAGCTTAATATAAAAATATAAAATGAATTAGCTAAAAATTGTATGGCTTTTAAGTTACGATTATTTTTTGATATTGGATGGTCATTTTTATGCTAGCAACAAATGGAGATTCTATGAAAAAATTGTATCAGAATAAAGAAAAACATACATGTGCTGACATTGATGAATGAATTTTTTCTCCAAGTATATGAAAATCTGGAGAATTTGCTTTAAAAACAAAGAAAAATTTTAAAATTCAGCTTTGAAATTTATTAAGTTACTATTTCTTGGATCCGTTGTTCTTTGTCGTTCATTTGACTAAAATAATTTAATATAATATATATTAACTAATGAAATAAGTAATGCTACTTCATCCGGGAAATGAGATGACGATTCATGTCGCTCTATAAAAGAAGATTTTGTTGTGTTTAAATAGAATATATTGTGTATGTACCTTCTGGACTAATTGTACGAGTGATTGTTAGCTCAGGACTTGTTGTACCAGTTAAATTCGGATCAGTACTTAATATGTGAGTGATTGTTGAAGTATTTTTTACTTTTAGTTTCGCTAATTTTTTCATTCGTTGTTCAGTTCGACATCTGTTTAACATAAGTAAAGAACGTTCCATGATGAGAGGATAAATTCTGGAATCAACCTTTTACATGCTTTTGATTTTAGAACATTTATGATACCAAAAAGACCACGTTTTCCACCTATTCGTACATTATGTTTATATCTATACTCACAACAAATTGATAAACGATTATCGATAAGACCATTTACATAAAATGTTAATGCAAATGGATACTCCGCATGTCGTTGAGATTCAAATTGGAATGTTTCTAAAGGAAAAATTATATTTTTAATTATGTACCCTACAATGAATTGATTGTTTTTAATTACTATTAGGTTTTAATGAACCTTTATAAACAATAACATTTTCTCCTCCACAATGTTGTTGCATAATAATTATTTCATCACCTTCAGGTTGAAAAAAACTACGTTCATAAGGAATATTTGTATGTGATCCATAATATATCATTGTTACTATACATCGATGACTAATTGAAGTTAGCTAAATGAAGATAGATTTTTAAAGTAAACTGAATAGTACAAATGGATTATATTAACGTTTATCATATGCTGAATCAATTTGAAAAATGAGTAACATAAGACATTTATTGAAAATTCTAGGTCTACTGAAAACAACAATAAACGTTTGATTCGTTTTTTTATATACTTCTTTCGTATAGAAATGTTTCAAAACAGGAATGTCATATTACTGAATAGACTTAAATCTTTTTTAAATATCACTGTGGATGATTACGTACGTCTACATGGAAGACTTTGTTTTGTTCACGTTTCATTGTATGCTCTATTATCTATTTAATTGATTGGAAGCTACTGACACTGACAGTAAGACTAACGTGGGCATTTCACCAACTGATACACGTCATTTGAACTCATATTTTGCTTATAGGTACGACTCGGGTCTACGAAAATTGGTCGACGTGAAAAATAGTCGAGAAATTAATTAAAAAAGAAAGAAAGAATTTTTCAACAAAAGCGACAACAGTGTAAAAAATTAATTAAAATTAGTATATAAACTGTCGCTGGTCTTAACCCTGATCCATCAAATTGGGGTCTGTACGGACCCCAGACGAAAACAGTTCATATTGATAGTACACACCGTTGTTCTTCAGTATAATATAAATTGAAGTGAAAAAATCCAAATCACTATACTCAGGGAACAATCTAGAGAGACTAATAGAATTTGAGCATTTTATAGGTTGACGGGTCAGGGTTAGAATATTTGTCGTAGTACCCTGTACAAGTAAAGTGAATCCCAACCTTTCTCCGGAACAGTCGATTTTAAGCAGAAGAAAAAAAAATGGCTGCGGGTGTTGGGATGAGTTCTCTTGAACTTCATCACACACTAGAACTTATACTACGTCTGCTACTCACACCTGCACCCGTACCGTCACCTGCGTTCACACCAATACTGACAATCATACCACACTCTCAAAATGCTTTTTTCTTAGTTCCACAGCTCTATCAGAATTAATTTTGATATAATTTCATGAAAATACATGAATTAATAATTTTAATTTTAAAAAGTAATTCTAGTTCATATGCTGCATTTATTAAGAAGAAAAGCTCCGTTATAATGATTGACAGTTTACTAGTGGTGTCTTCTGTTTTCTTCTTGTAGTGCTTTGACTGATTCGTCGCATTCGAAGCTTTTATTTTTTTTATTAGGAATCGCTAGACTATTTTTCGTATCGACCAATTTTCGCTTTCCCGTACGGCTCATCGTATAGATAAAATTCCTAAAAGGATTTGCCCCATTGTCACTTTGTTGCAGAGAAACAAGTGTAACAAGTTTCTCAGAAAATGACATTACTGTATTTTCTATAAAAAATTTCTTTCAGTATCATATACAACAAACGAAGGTACAATAAAGGATTACAAGAAAGATTAATTAGTCCAATGGTAATGATAGTTAAAAAAAAACATGAGTTAAGCACTATTCTTCTTGATACCAAGAGCACCTAATCATCGACCCATCAATACAGCTTTTTTCATGACATTTATCTGTTTTGAAATATGAAACAAATATCTTTCTGAATAAACTGCTCCTTTCGTTCCGACGCGTGGAAAAATACAACCAAAATTAACAGATAAGTTAATTCAACGAATTTTTCTCCTGTCTCAGTAGAATATTAACAAAGATTTAGTTGTTCATTTTACAATAAGTAATCAAGTATAATATGAATTTTAAAAAGTCAGATCGCGGAGACGTTCTTTTATTGAGATAGTAAAAAAGATAGATTTTCCATAGAAAATACAGTAATGTCATATTTAGAGAAACTTGTTACACTTACTTCTCTACAAAAAAATGGCAATAGAACGAATTCTTTTACGGTTGTTATCTACACGATAATCCCTACCAATGAACAAAATATGAGTACAAATGGTGTTTATCAATTGATGAGATTCCCTCGTAAGTTAGAATTGAATAACTGAAATGCATATATTTACTTGCTTTTTTAATAAAAAGAAACTATCTATTTAATATTTATTTATAAAAACTATCAATTAAAAACATTAAACTTTAGGGCATGCGTTAAAAAGCTGCAGTTCAAATAAATCTTTCTTGTTCATCATGATTTGTTAGACCTTAGATTTCATGAATTTATTCAATTACTAGTTTCGTAGTTGTATCTTGAAAGATTTTCACATAGTAATCAAATGCTCAAAATCTTTTTCGTAAACAAAATTGGTCCTAGCTTAAAATAAAACATATATATATTTAAGGTAACATAACCTATGTGTATGATTCGAATAATAAACATTTCGAACTCTACTAATTTCATGTTATCATAAATACAAATGTCTATCAAGACTTCTGAGATATAATCTATTTGATATGTAAATAAATACTCTAAGAAGTAAATAATCTAATATCACCTTTGGACTGACAGTACGACGCACCAAAACACTCTTTGCACGTGTTGATTGATTAGATGATGAAAGGCGTGTTGGTGACTGAGATCTACTTCTCTAATACAAACAAAAATAAGACATATAAAATAATATATAATCTGTTATAACTTGTCTTGTTCGAGATATTGTAGTACTCCTACGTCGTCGATCAATTGAATAATTATTCGGTGATTTTGAACGTCGACCTTGTCTAGTATTCTATTTAAAATCAATTGAAATATTTTAGAAATATGTTAACGAACTTTTGTATTTTCTATTGGATACTTCCTACTTGCGGTAGTCAATGAAGGATGAATGGAAGTCTGAAATCTTTATTTACAATAATAAAGAAAAAGATGAATTAACTTAAAGCTAGAATACTTTTCGGCATTTTTTTTTGAACTATGTCGTCGTCTAGAATGATGTTTAGAAGTCCGTTCATATTCGTCTTTAAATATGACTTCACCATGTTGATTAATCTTTTCAATAAAAATCAAAAGGATCTGATTGATCAAAAGAAGAGATAGCTCATACCAAACCAACATTAATTAAATGTTGACGAATATGTTTAATATTTAAAAGTGTTTGTAATTCTTTATTTGCCAATTCATTAGATTTTCTAGAAATAATTTTTATCGTTTTGTTTTTATACTCAAGCAAACACATACTTTACGTCTGTCATTGTATATGCTTTTTGATTGATCGTTCGGTTTCAATGACAACAATTGTTGTATTACAACAAAAAAAAACTTTTTTTTCTTATTATCAATTGAAGAAAAACAAATATAATTGCTAGTAGCTTTTTTTTCTTCATACATAATAAAATAGTTCTTTTATTCACATTAAAAAAAACATGTTGACATACAAAATAAAAAATTTTTATTAAGAAGAATTACACGAGCTGCGTTGACAAAAATTTGTTCTAAGAAAGTTTATTGTATCTCTCATTTATTTGTTAGAATCACAAGAAAATTCTTTTTAAAAATAATTTTGATTTTATTTGTCTATAACGGTAAAGTATACAAAATACAATATCATATTTTCTCTTGACAATTTTCACGTGCGTATGCAATGCGTAGGTGTACAGGAAGAAATCATTAATCAGTTTTTAGAAGCCTTTGCAATCTTTTACTATTTCGCTCGAGAAAAATGCAAGATTATTATTAGATCAATATGAAAAATCAGGTGATCAATAACAGAAAGAACTTGTATTAGAATTATTAATTTCAATTCGTGACAATGGAAGCAAATCAAAGTAGAATTCTTAAATTTTGAAAATATTTGATGCTTTTATTAATAATGTAGATTAGAAAATTATCCTATATTCTTTAACTGAATGAAAGTTCTAATATCTAATCTTTTCCTATGCTAATCAATAAATAAATAAATCGATATTGTTGTATCTTACAAAGGAAGGATTTGTACTGTAAACTAATAAAACAAAGTCTCTCTTCGCAATAGAAGACCACGAATATTATATTATGTCGAAACGTAGAAACGGTTTTAAGGATTCAAAAAGATATTTGTCAGAATTTTAAAAGCACAGAAATAGCGCTGAACTCAACTTCGTAGGAATTTCAACTCAAAACCTTTAGAGACTAAGCACATTTTGATGTAAATATACTAATTAAGATTCTAATTTAGTGAGAAATTAATTAATTAGAGGAGTTCTCTATTATCAAAGAAGGAGTTAAGACATATTAAGGCTAAATAAACGCTTTCACAACCAAAATAACAAATTTAAAAAATTGGTTACTGTTGATGTACCTAAACTGAGGTTTTCGATTTCTCAGGTATTTATAGAGTGTATATAAATATTAAAGAAATTTTTATATACGGTTTTTTCCTCGTATAATGAACTATTTAATTATTCCGTTGATGAATGTGCAAGATCTTGATCGAATTTAGTGCATTATTACTGACATATTAAGTTTATTGTCTTCTCGAAGTTTAGTCGTGTATTAATGAAAATAATTACATTACCTCTAGATTTCAACAAAGCTTTGTATGTAAGATATCCACCATTTTACTGCACTGATGCATCACTGTCCGATCTACATAATAAATGATTTTCGTATGGATTTTACTCATTCTTTAAGAAGAAGAAAAAAGACGATTTGTTTAAAACAATGTAAACAAAATCGACTTTGATACCAGGATGGCACATTGTTGTACGAACTTCTAAGTCTAGAAACAAAGGTAACTAACAAGAATGTATTATCTTAATTTTTTTATATTATTCACAAATCAATTGAACAGATATGAGGATAAATTACAGTGTATATTTCAGACATTTTCCGGCATTTTATTTGTATTCTATCGCTTGATTCACGATTAAAAAACCACAATAAATTTAAGTTTATACAGATTAAGGAAACAGTTACAAAAGATGAACATTTATAATTTGTACTACGTGCTAAAACACCTTGATTACTATTATTCAATTGAACATATTCATATCTTTTCATAATGAATTACAGCAATACCATACTGCACTATACATTTCTTTCAGTTCAAGTGAAATCGAAAATTATTGTTGTTGAATAAACTTGCATTAACAAAAAGAGACTTTTCTGCAATTCAATATTACTAAATTTCGAGAAAACATCGAAGCTTATGTATCAATAATGACACACAAGATTTGAGTAAAATTTTGCGCATTCATAACAAAAAAAAGCCAGTTCATTGTACGAGAAAAAAAAACTGAATATAAAAAATTCTTTGGTATTTGAGTGAATTTCAATTTTATTGTAGAATTGATGTCTTAGAGTAATAAAACTATAACTTTTGTTTCTATCGAGCGATTTTAAATCAGTATTTTAATTCTATTTCCTTCTTAGTCTCGCACATCAAATTCCATATGACTATTTTGTATTTTGAAAAAAGAGCCAAATAGACACGGAAATGTAAACGAGCTATTTTTTATCTTGAACATCACTCTATCGAAACATGTGATGCACTGATCTATACATTTTTCCGTTCGTATACTTTTGTTCTCGGCATCCGATGACAGGCACTTTTTCTTTTTTATGTACAGGGTGACACAAAACCATCAATCCTGAAGATAAATAAAATAACGAAAAAAGATCGAAGTACCTAAAAAATCGTTGATTGATTCATTTTGTACAGTGACATTTTGAAACTTGTTTAGTCTATCAATTACGAACGGTTGTTCTAACTTCATTCAAACATTTTCAAGTAAGCTAGAGCTCAAACAATTGTATCCACAATTAAAATATCACACTTTTAACTTTTACTGTTCCGAAAATATTCAAATTATACAAAAAAATATGTTTAGCAAGATATTTCTTGTTGAATCTTGTCAATGTTTACTTCCCATGCAGAGCTGAAAAATGACACAAACAATTTCAGTGAATTAAGCAGATATGAAACTGCACACGGTGCATCTCACTAAATGGTCAGTGAAGTTTTTGGAAAGCTTTTACTGTATAATATAGACATAAAGAATAATAAAATGCACTACTCCGAAATTGTTCAGAATTATTTTCATTTTTTCGCACCATTTGTACTGAAAAACTGCAACTCGCTCATACATTAAATCAATGAAATCAAATCACATTTTTTTAGTTTGATAAAACTTGTTAACAATAGGTTTAATTCCACTTATTACTTGCATTAATATTAATTAACGAATTATATAAATTTGTATTTGATTCTAAATAGTTCAAAAGACAATATCTTGTTTGATCTAACGATATTATATGTCCTATCAATTATTTCCACCATTTAATTTTATTGTAGTAATAAATAATTAAATAATACTACAAGAATCTATCAAATATGAATAATATATTCTTGAAGCTTATGATAAAAATATGAAAATGAGACTTTAGTATTGTGTTCATGCATAGATTTAAAATGAATATATGAGTTTTTTTAATTCATAAGTCCCAAGACGTTTTCTTATTGCTATGCATGATTATTCCAACGAACTTTTGTTTTTTGGACTATTGCAAATATTTACTTAAGACTTGTTGGTTTTAACATTTACATTTTATTTTTGTTAATAATAATGTTCGACTATGATTTTTCTTCTATGTCATATAAAACACATTCACTAGAGATTTCATTTTTATGATTATTGTTTAGTCATCAATTTATCTACACTGGTTCACAGGGTATCAATGCACTTCAAGGACATATGAGTAAAACAAAAGCCTTATTCACATGAGTGTCTCTTACACTCTAATAGCGTTCTTTCTTTTTTTTTTTTTTTTATTATCGATCCAATTTGCGCAAATAGAATTACTGATCAAGAAAAAAATCTTTATAGATATTTGTATTTGTTAATCTTGACATTTATCATGAGGTATAAAGAATAGCGAAAAAAGAAACGACGTTATTGTAATTACTATTTTTTGTTTCGTCGATAACTATACAACAATGAGTGACGATCCGACAGACCTGCTCAAAGCTGAACTTGGTATGATATCGGATAAATATGAACATCATCCTCATCATCCCCAACAACATCATCATCATCATGATAAGGTTATTACACCTAGTTTCGAACCGGCAAAAGTTGTGACCCATAAATTGCAACCAAAGGTTAGTCAAGATAAAGAAGAAGCCGGTCGCAACGAACAACAGGAGCAACATAAAGATGAAGGCAAATAATCATCTTATCTACCAAGGATACTAACATATGAACTAAATAATTATTATTACAAAACGTTACATATTTATAAATATTTTTTTTTTTGTACAAAGCAAATTTTAATAAATCATATTCGATTTTGTTCAACAGGATCAGTATGTTAGTTCATGTTTATTCAGTGTCAATGCAGAGAATTTCATATTTTATTTCTATTCAGTATATAACTAAATGAATTTACATATTTCTTTTATCTAAAAAAGGCCATAGATAAAGTCGTATTATTTGAAAGCGAGAAGTTTCATCAACTGCTATTATCATTACTGTTGATCATTACATTAAAAAGGAACTTGTATAGATAAAGAACGAATAATGAAAAAGAGAATAGCAAAAGAAGAATGATAGTCAATATGATTTCGTATTTGAAAGATAATATATTCGTTTGATGTGCATCAAAGCAAGAATTGGATTGTTCATTGTTTGCTTTTGCTTTTTACTACTGCATAATTAATCGCTATTTCCATATTTACCTCATATAAATGAAGTAAAATTTCTAAAAAGAATTGTTAAATTGTATTTTTAAGGATATATATCCCCTTGCTTTCGTGATCCAAAATTTTCGTTTTTTTTTGTGACCATTATATATTCTGAAGTAGTATCTTTCTACTGAATACATTTTGGGATCTAAAAGTTGTCTTAATAAATTAGAGAAGAAATCAAATTTACACAATAAAAAAAAGCAACCACATTTTTCTCATGAAATAAGCGCAGAAATCCTCCCGTTTCTCTGGTCTGAATATGTTCGTTCAAACTGAAACTTTTTTCATATATATACTATACACTGTTTGGAATAGGTACTTCTTTTTTTTTCACTTTAAAAATATTGTTCTGTTGATTTTCGAGAGCCTTATAAAAAAATATACATTTTTTATGTTACTGTTTTGTTCGAAGGACAAAAGCTAAAATATATATTCACTTCAAACAATGTCTAACTTCTGTAAAAAGATTTCTCAGCTTGATCGAACATAGTATCTCAAAGAAGTGAGAGAGAGTGTGTTTTTCTTCGTTGTAATGCCAGTATCTCATAGAATACAACAATTCAAGATGACAAATTTTGCTCTACTTATCGAGGTCTACCTGCCCTGGATATTTCATATTTGTCTAATGAGCCGTTCTCAAGAAACTCCGGAAAAGAGAAACGAAGCTACCCTTAAAGCTATTGTTATTAACTATTCGCTTCAATAGAAATAGATAATTATAAGTTTTTGAACAGTTCATAATAAAGATTCAAATATTCAAGATTCTTTTTTTGTTTATTAAATTAGCCTACTATAGATTTTCATCTTCGAGAAATTGCTCTAATTGTATTATCGAGATTCATTATTATTGATAATATGACATTGTCATTCAGTAGATTATGATTCTCTTGAAATTTCTTTAATAAGTATTTATTTCTTGATTGAGACTAGACATTTGTTGTTATAAATAACTATTCTTAATCAATTCTATAAATTCTCAGACGATAGTACAAAAATATTTCTGTTATCTTTTGACATGTACAGACAAAATATTATTATCTCTTGTCATACAAATCCAGTAGTTATCCGATAAAATTTCGTCATATAAAACACTCATAAGACAAATTCATCAATTTTTCCTAATAATGATTAAATCTTTATCTAATATGATTTCTTATAATAAATATTCCCTTTGGATTTAGATAAGACTATCCAATCCTTATTTTATTTTGTTATTCATTCAAGAGAAAGAAAAAAAAAAGAAAAGAAGTTCATCGTTTTATATTAGTATACAAATTGCAGAAAAGCAAAAAAAAAGTTAATAATCACTGTGAACAAGAAGAAAAAGTTAGAGAGCTAAGAATCAATCTTAGGCACTGAGACCCGAAGAGAAAAAAAAAGAAGATTGAGACAACAAATGACTAGAATGAAAGGGCAGCATAAGGTAGATGAATGAATTTGCATTCAAATGCAAGTGATCAACACTTGTCGAATAGTAAAAAAACAAACAAACATGACTAGACGCGATTACCGAAAATTAGCCATTTCGTAATGGGCAAATCTTTCATCATCATAAACAGGTGCAGGAGGTATTGCTTGTGGTGTTAATGTTTGTCTATAATAATCCGAATTTGATGCTGTTGATGGTAATCTTTGATTTGAATTTCCTCCAATAGTTGCAGTTCCGTAACGATTAACAGAGACTTGTGATTGTGTTATATCATTAAGTAATGGTGATGATGGAAGTAGACGTGTAGTTGTTGTAACAACTGGTACTGATCCCGGAGGATTTATTTGTGGTATATGAGCAATAAGTGAAGCTGTTGGACGTGGTGGAACATATGTTGTATCATTAGTTAAATCATTTTTTTCATCTAATTTCGGATGTGTTGCATTCCAATATGAATCCAAAAATATAGCTAAAGTATTACAAGCATCTTCTAATTGATTTTGTTCTAATACTAAATCAAACATTTCCTAGAAAAATTAAATTTATATAAAATTCATCAAATAGTTTTTATTAAAACATACAGTTGGACATTGTGTTAGTTTATCAGCAGCAACTAATTGTACATTTAAATTTCTATGTTGACTTTTTCCACGTGATTTAATTAATTTTTGTAAAACTTTTGGTGATGATACTTTTAAATAAATAATTATTGGTGCTAATGATGTTTTTTGCAATTGAGCTGGATGATTTATTGTATCACAATCAAGAACAACTAATTGTAGACTTCGTGCTAATTCAAATATACGTTCAATTTCATCATGAACTTCTTTTATACCATTTGAACGTGTTGTATTCATTGAACCTAAACCGGGTGTTGATGATGAATTATCACCACCAGTATTTGCGCTAGTACGTTCAATAAGTGCAATTTTTGATGGATTATTTAAAAGACCACGTTTAGCAAGAGATATATCAGCTGTAACACGTGTTATTATAATACGACCTTCATAACGATGTTTTAAAAAATCAAAAACAGCTTTTTGCATCATATCTGTAACATCATATCCTTTTAACGATGGACCAACTAGTACAACAGGACGCATATTTGGTACAACATCATATGGAGTTATGTTTACAGTCTAAAAAGAAATGATAAATGATGTATGTTAAATAGAAATTAATCTTATTTCTTTCTGATAATTATAACTCTATGACTTTAAAAAAAGACTCAGTAATAAAAATACTTCTATAGATCATTTAATTTGTATATAGAAATTTATTTCATTAATCAGAAGACTTCTATGAATATTTCATATAGATTTAATTTACCTTTTTGAAAAAATTTTTCTTTTTATCTTTACTAGCATTTGTATTTAATTTTGATTTTGTAAGACTATGATTATCACCATCACCATCATTACCAAACATATCATCATTAAATGTAGGTATATTTTGATCAATCATATCAAGACCTTAAGAAAAGAACGAAAGAATTTTTGAAATATTTTTCGTTTTTTTAATTAAAAATAACAAAAATACTTTGTGTTGATGCTTTCATACGTGGTGTTGTATTTGCAAGTGGTGTTGAATGATTTTTACTTTTACGACTTGATTGTATACGTATCATTTCTAATTTAGCTGGACTTGGTATAAAACCAAGTGTTCCATCAACTTTAACTAGTCGACCAATCCACCAATCATTATTAAATTTCTAAAGAAATAAAATTTCCTTTGTTTTTTTTGTTTGTTTTAATTTATCTTACATCTTTTATATGAAGAAATTCTTTTGTTTTAAACGTAATAGCTGCTTTAGCAATAGGACAAAGATCATCGGGTGATGGTACATAATCGATATTTGTTCGTACAGCAAATGCAACTGGTTTTGTTTTACATCGTTCAAGTGCTTCATTTGCTGAACGTGTTTGATCACGAGGTTTAATTGGAGGTGATAAACTATTTGTAGTTGTAGCAGCAGTTTTCGTTACATCAGATGAATCTCCATCAAAACTTTCTGACGATGGTTGACTATAATTGGATTCAGCTGAACCCTAAATAAAAATAAAAAACAAAAGAATTTTCTAGGGAAATAAGAATTTTTCTTTTGAAATTCCTATGGGATTTTGATATTTATTAAATTTTAAAATACAAACCAACATTATACGATGGACGAGCAATGCAAAATTCATCTTTATCGACTATGTAGAAAAATCTATTCTGTCTTTTGTTGTCCATCTGTTCTACCATCAATCAGTATTTGTCAAATCTATTTTTACTTTACGTGAGTAATTATCCATCGATCTGTAATTACATGCGATTCTTTTTTGCTTGTTTTCTAATTGCTGATGAAGAGAATTAATAATACTGGAATACAGATTATCGACTTCAGAGAATTAGACGAGACAATCATAACCTCACATTCATCAAAACGTCGATGTTTCTCTCTTTTTTACTCGCTCGTACAACAATCATATATACATGCAAAAACCTCAATAATTAATTTGTAAAAGACTTACAACTGTTGTTGTAGAATAAGCGCTATCAGCTGAATATTGTTTTACATTTCGGATAGATGACAAAAACATTTTTCATTATTTTATTTTCCACTATTAATCAAATAGAGTTTCGTCGTTTATATTTATCGTCTACTCTAATCCATGATGAAAAAAAAACTAATTCTTTTTCTGTCGATTCTGTCTATGGTTAGTAACAACATTTTCTTTTTCGTTCGTTCTTCTATCCTACTTGATTATAGTAAATAGGTACCTATGGAACATCGCGTTAGAGCTCGACGACAATGACGAAAGAAACAAGAATGCATATGAATGTTTGTTAATTCTACACACGCGTGCATGTAACAAAATAATACTAGCGTCAAATCATGATTTGACGCGCATAAAGAACGAATAACACACCATGTAGTCGCATCGAATTCCACTCGTCTTATCAATCTAACAAAGCAAACAAAGTCTATTTCTTTTTTTTTGTGTGTGTGTATGACAGATAACTCATTTTCTTTTTCGCTAATACAAATAAAAATCGGTTTGTGTTTTTTTCTTTTTTTTTTGGACGAGGAAATAGAAAAGAAAAATCATTATTTTTTTCCCTAAAGAGACAAATTTATTTAATTAAATAACAATAGAAAAATTGAATTATCAATCAATTCAGAAAACACTTACTTGTCGATTGATACTATATGAATCTGATGACAGACTGCTATCTTGTGTTGTTCCAAGACCACTCAGTTTTGGAGAAAATGCTAATTTCTAAAAATAAGACATTCTATATATATATTAATCTGTTCAAGTAATGAAAGAAAAGACATTTACGACGAGTATTTAGTCGAATTTTTTGTTATTAAAATGTCTTGATGGACGAATGAATATTGCAAGTAGAACGAACAAATATTAAGTTATGAGAGAGACTAAAATCTTTTCATGTTCGAGTATTTATTACAAACTAATTATAAATATATATATATATATGTCTAGTAATTACAAAATGTTTTGAAAATCGATACTCTATTTTTCTAGAAAAAAAATGTGAAATTTTATATAATAATTTCTTTTTGAATAATTGCATAAAATAAATGTTTAAAATTAATTTTAAAGTCAAGAACACTATTTTGATTAAAATAAATTAAGTATCAAAAGAATTTTAGTTTAAATCAATATATATTTATAAAATCTAATGTTTAATGCTTACTTTTGGATGAAGAAGATCTCGATTATCACGTTGATTTGAATGAACCCCGCTCGATGGCAAAGGGTTATTATTAGGTTGATTATTCGTCGTTATTATTGTACTAGATCTTATATTGTTTGTATTGTTGGCCATTAATATCATAGTTCCATTTGAAAAAAATCATTTTGATCTTGCAAATTGATTCATATAGTTTCTTCTGAACATGAGAAATCTTGATTGAGCTCTATTTATTATGTATTTGTTTACATGATCATAGGTTACTATTAAGAAAATTGCTTTAATAACCAATCAACAAAAACTTCTCTTCCTCCAGTCAGCTTTTTTTTTTCTTATAGAAACCATCACATAGCGAACTCTATTGAAAGTACCAATAAACGATTATTAAAAAATAAAAACAACAAATAACAGACATGATAAGAAAAATATTCTTATACATCGTTGACAGACAAAACTCAACCTACACATTAGTGACAATGACAACAGAAGACATACTACTAATGATAACGATGCTTATGATATTATGATTTGAATAGGAAAAAAAATGTTGTTAGAAATCGATTAGACATTGATTTATTGTAAACATAAGAATATTATGAATTAGTCTCATAATTGTTACTAGCTCAACGTTTAATTCAAAGAGTAAATTAAAAAAACCATTTACTGTTTTGATTAAATCCATCACTACGAGAAGATATCTTGTAAATCATAAACGATTACCGGTCGTTCGAGGGTTAAAAACACAAGCAAAAATCTATGATTAATTCAATAATTCGATTCTTATTAAACAACTTTTTTCTGATAGTATAAAACTTTAAATAATAACATCATGGATGAGACTCTAGATAGATACATTGATTACTTTTTTACTCTGCACTCAGTTAAGTTTTATCTTAATTGAAGGTTTTTCAACCAAAATAATTACATACATTCATGTAGAAAATTCTAACAAAGTTTTATTCTGATCTTTTTTTGTATCGATACAGATATTCACAGCGATATTAATTGGCTTTAAGCCTTTGGCCAATTTCATTCATTAATGTGAATCGAATAAACACAGAAGCCGGATGTGCATGCTACGCAATGTTATTGTTCAAATTTATTAGAATTTAGTCTATGCATTATTAACACTCAAAGCTTTTTTTTTTCTAGATACTGTTAAAGACTTAATGAAATTTCCTGATTTGACACGCTCATGAAATAATGAGGATATTGTTTAAAATTAAATCCTACTGATCACAAATAAGATATCATACATGTATGAAGTGTTACAGTCGATCTAATATGGATAACACCAAATTATTATGCTAGAGAAATCGAAGAGTTTGACTTTGAAGTAAACAATACTTGAAACTAACAAGATAAAATATCATTCGACAATTTTGAATGACAATCAATGAAGATGATTTAATTGAAGTGTATATTCAAGAGAAAAAAATGATCAAAGATGAAACAATGATAATGATTTCACACTTAATAATTCAATATTTTCGAAAATAGACAGAACAATGTCATTGTTTATTTTGATCGTATATATATATATATGTAATCTATAGAATTTTTTTCCAGCGATTTTAATTTTTTTTGAATTTACTCTGATTCGTTCTAGTTATCATGAATAATTTTGATTTTTATGAGGATTTTTTTCTCATTTATTGTCTAAAAATGTTTGAGAGATAAGTATCAAGAATCATATGTAATGGATATTTCTCTCTATACCCTGGGTGATGATTTCATCGATAGAAACGGCGTATTGCTGCATTAATTTCGCCATTTCATATCGTTTATGACTGTCAACGACGTCATTTTCTTGGACCTCGATATGTTTCATACTTAATATAAAAAAAAATGTAATTTCATAATTTTCTCTTAATACGGAAGAGTAAAATAGATAAAAAAGCTTTAATTATATCGCATACTCTTATTTTATATTTCGACAATAAAAAAACTTGTGTTATCCAATATAATATAGGTTCATCAAAAGAAAAATTCACTAGAGACCGATATATCAAGCTCCTATCTATCTCTAGTTGTGGCACTGGAATATCGATAAATTACTCTTTTTTCTCTACATCAATGATACAAAAAAAATAATCTTAAAAAAAAGTTCACTATGTGGTTAGTGTGGAAATTATATAATATTACAAAAAAAAACTTCTTAAGTTTGTTTTCTTGAATATCAGTTTTCAAATGAATATATGGATAAAATTGTTATTCCGTATGAGAAGTAGTGGATGTTGTTGTTATTGATGATGGTGGTAGTGAATGTTCTCTAGTTGATGGTGCTTCTAAGTGAAATGGAGCTATTGGCAATGGATAATTATTTGATTGAGTTGGAATCATAACTGTATATGGATAAAACATTAATGGAGTATTGAAATACGATATTGGAATCATTGGTGGAGAAGTTACATTTGCTGAGGAGATCGGTGGTGTCGCTGACTTAGGTGTAATTGATTGAGAATTAACAACATTTGTACTTAACTTCACATAGATTGGTTTTGAAAGAATCCATTTACCGTTCATTTCATTCAAAGCTTTAGTTATTTCTTCCATTGTATTAAAGCATACAAAACCAATACCTTTTGATTGACTACCATTTCTCAAAATCTTAAATAAATGACAAATAAAACATGTATAATTATAATCATAATTTTATGTATACTCACATGTGTTTTAGTTACTTTACCAAATTTAGTAAATATGACTTCAAGTAGTTGTTCATCAATCACAGGATCCAAATTACTTACAAACAAAGAAAGGTTATTCGATTGTATATGATGATTTTCTTCACGCATGCGTTGCAGATCATTTTGAACGACGA